CACACCACGCGCGCGCGCACACACACACACACACCGAATCCAACAAGTCAAATGTAACAAACACACACACACACAACGAATCCGACAAGTCAAATATAACAAACACACACACACAACGAATCCAACAAGTAAAATATAACAAAGGGTCATACAATGATACAACCAAGATGCGGTTCTCACAACGGAAGTGAAAATATACCTTAGACAGGTAAAAGTTAACAGATGCCTTATTAAGAATGCTAAAAAAAGACTAGATGGCATTCATATCCTTGCTCCAACAACTGTCCAGGATAACCATAGCTAACGTGGTCCTTCCCCAAGAGATTACCTGATTTCTATGCTGCTATCTAATTTGCAGTATCAGGATGAAAAGAATAGATAAAGCAAGGTTAGTACTAATGAGTGATATTTAGTTTTGACAATAGATAATGAGTGATATTTAGTTTTAATAATAGATGATGAGGTAGCACATCAGATTACGAATTCAATTTTGAGAATAGGTCCAAGGGTGTTCTTTATAATAGTTTTCCGTCCTGTATGGCGTTTTCTGTATGGAATGATTGTAGTATCTATCCATGTGTCCATACATGACATATATATCCATTCCATGTAAAAAAGGATATATATCCATATATTTCTTACTTGAATTAAAGCATCAATTAAAACATTTAATTCATACTTATAATTGGCTAGGCAGGCACACCAATGTACTTACAGGGTCTATATAAACAACACAACAAATCTCAAATAACAACACAGCAAAAAGAACTGCAGTACGTAAGCGTAGCTAGCCTCCTCCTCTACTGTAAATCGATCATGGTGATAGTGAAGAAGACACGAGTGCCCTGTGCTGCTTCGTGGCCACACTCATGGTGGTCATGGCTGCCACCCTTCTTCTCTCCTCGTGTGACGCCGGCAAACAGGTTAGTCAGTTAAATTTGCTATATATAATTTGCATTGTCGCCGTCGTTGAGATCGGAAGTTGGAGCACATGTTTTTCAGATTAGATATCTAATCTGTGCATATTTTTATCGTTCATTTATTTACATGCATATGCAGATAGTTGAGCCGCGTGCTTTTCCCCTGCCGGCTTCGTGCTACTCCAAACACTTCCCGGACTGCACGGATGAGCGATGCAAGAAGTTCTGCGGCGGCGACGACATGCTGCCGGTCTCTTCGGCCTTCTGCAATGACGACAATAACTGTTGTTGTCCCGTTATCTAGGAGGAAATGGAGATGTCAATAATATAAGCAAGAGATCAGACTCTTTCTAAAATCTTTGTAAAACAGTTTTTTCGGCAAAAAAAATTAACAATTATATCATTGTGTGTCTTATTAGTAGACATGTCGAAAGTAATGAAGCTTGAACAAACATGGTGTGTTACCTGCGTGTTGACAGCACTATCGCATACAAGTTTGTTGTTTATCGACTAGATGGACATGAGCATGCAGCAAGTTCTCTTACTGTTTCAAACTTCACCCAGAATGCAAGTCTCTCTACACTTCCCTTCCACTACACATTCGTTAATGATGTTCCTATTTAGCCCCTAAATAAATTCATCATGGATTGACAATTTTTTTCTATTTGGGGAGGGGATATGAATTACATATAACCTTAGTTTACAATCAGAAATAGAAATGTTTCACGTTCTACATGAACTATCAACCATTAATTTAGTTCTTGCAAGCAAATATATCAGTCAAATCTTAGACAAGGATATATGTTTTGTATTAACTCTATTGTATCATCACAACAATGTGCTCGTTGGCATATGGCATATCAACATTACTTAGCTCCATATATGGAGAGAATATATGCATTGGTCAATATATAAGTAAGTTGTAACTAGAGTTGTACAACAAAATTAGGAAATGTAGCATAAAGAAACACATTTACACTACTAAAAACTACCATTTTACCTAGGGCCATGGTCTTTACCTAGAGCTCATTGGCCTCCTCAAGGGAAAGAAAAGGCATGAGGGCATCTCCAGGGGAGACCCGCAAAACTCCAGTATATGTTCGACCAGGCACTTTTATTCACTTTTGCAATTCAACACGGTTCTGCATCGGTCCGCGAAGTGGTCCGGATGTACATTTTTTTACAAAGTGGAGACAAATATGGGGGAGCTATACCGGAGTCCGGACATCCACCTGACCAACCAAAAGCATCTGCCTAGTCCTCCTCTCTTCTCTCTCTCCGCACATGCATGATCCCCCTCTTATCTCTCCTCCCAACTGGACACCACACCACAATATCCCACCACATGCATGGTCCCCGCATACTTTTTCTCCTTCCGGCCAGATACTTTGTAAAGTTAGCGTTAGATGGCTCCCTCCTGTATGATGTCCGCGGACCACGTCCTAACACAAAAATGGACATATACCAGAGGAATTTGTGGGTCATTGTTGGAGATGCCCTGAATAGTATACCCTAGGAAAATATCATTTTCTAGCAAAAAAGAATTTGAAACAAATTCACCTAAGGTTGATAGCAGCGCGACATATGTTTGGCTTCCCCGCACCATTTATTTAGTTTTGCACACATTGAGCCCACTTATCAGCGAGAGTGAGACATGACATGTAGCAAGAAAGTGCACGAAATTTCGAGCATCTTCTCCCTGGCCAATTCCAAATCCTCCTCTCCCAAAGCAGAGAGCTTCCCAGATCTGGGGCGTGCCCAACCCCGGACAGCCAAGCTTCCCCGGCCGCCACCTAGGTCATCACTTCTCTTCCCCTTCCTTTGACCCCCGATACCACCGTCTGCTAGGGTTTCTCCTTCGATGTCACCGCCGCTATATATATACTTTTGAATATAAAAAGTGAAAAAAAAAACAAAAAAATCAATAACAACGAAAGAAAAACAAAACAGAAAAAGTAACATGATGTTAGCAGGCGAGCCGCAGCTACTGGGTCATGCAATACCTGCTGCACTTGCTGGCAAGCTGTGGTAGGGCTCGCTGCGGGCGACACATTGCGTGCTTGCGGTCATTTTTTTAGTACTTTACATTTGATTTTTCTAAAAACACATGGGAAAAGTAATGTTGAGAAGTGTGACTTTTTGAGAATTTGAGCACATTTTTAGAAAATATGATATTTGTTAAAAAATTAAAACTTTTAAAAAACTAAAAAAGTTGAATATTCTTTTGAAATTACGAACGTTTTTGGAAAAATCAAAAAAAATCAAGACTTTTAACATTTTGTGAAAATGCGAACATTTTTAAAATGAGTGAAAAAAATTTAAACGTCAAGAGATTTTAAAAAGTAAACACTTTTAATATATTTTTCAAAATTGCAAACATTCTTTTGTACAGGAAGAATATTTTTTTAAAAAGGTAGATTTTTTGAAATTATAAAAAAACTAGGAAATTAGTGACAAACAATTTTTTAAAACTAAGAACTCTCTTTGACTTTGTGAAATTTTAAAAAAGTGAAGAATGAAAGAAATTAAAAAAGACATAAAAATAAAAACCAAAAATGAAATAGGAAAAACAATGAAAAAAAACAAACAGAAAAAACTCATTCAAAGAACCTTATAGAAGGTTCACAAAACTCCTTGGCTCGCACTATATAATATGCTCAGTATGGGCCGTCCCATCTCTTGTCTCTCCGGTTATTCCCCTGTGTGATTCAACGACTGAGCTGCACTGAGTGACACAAAGGATTTGCGCACAGGAAGCGCCACAAGTCGGGACATTTGAGCAACTCGTGTTTATTGATCCAGCCTGTTAGAGCGAGCCGAATGCCAGGTTAGCTTGAAGGTTGGGACTGGGGAAGATAGGCCTTGATTTTTGTTCGCGATGGGAGTAAGGTGGAACGAAAACGGCTAGCAATTTGGGAGGAACCCTATTTAGCGGTTAAGGCGTCGGTTATAGGGCTTTCAGCCCATTTAGGTACTGCACTACGTTCGTCACGGAAGGTTTGAAAAGCTTCTGAAGCAAGCTTGCGAATGATTTTTCTGTTTTTTTCTTTTCCATTTTCTTCAGGTTTTCTATCTTTTTTCTCATTTTTCTCTTTCTTTATTTTATCTTTAATTTCATGAACTTTTTCTTCAAACTCATGAATTTTATTTAGAATTGCAAACAATTTTAAAATTCACGGTCCATTTTTATTTTTTTTAATTCGTGAACTTTTTCTGACTTCACATAATTTTTTAAATTGAACTATTTTTTAATTAACAATATTTTTATAAATTCGTGAACTTTTCTGTGAAATTCGTTAGAATTTGTGAACTTTTTCTAACTTTGCAGAATTTTCCGAATTCACTTTTTTTTTGCTTTCGCAGACTTTTAAAATTCAGGAACTTTTTTCAAATTCACAAACTTTTTTTTGGCATCGTGAGCTTTTTTCAAATTTATGGAAGTCTTAAAAAATTGCTAACATTTTGAGAACCAATGTTTTCTTCTATTTGTTCGACTATTTCAAAATCAAAGAAGGCGAGAGATGGTTTTCTCCCTTACCGGGCAGGCAGGAAGAGCCGAGGTGAAGTGTACAAGGAGATGAAAAAACTAACGAAATTGACTAGCGACCGAGAGCTACATGGGCCGGCCATATGGATGCGACGGTTAGGAGCCCCCCAGATTTGGATCACTGTTCAAACAGAAACAGATTTGGACCATGCATTTGGTGTGAGGGTGATTGAAACTTGGAAGGAACGACAGCTAGGCAACATGCCATGCTCATGATCGAGTAGAACTCTTCGCCTAGTACTATATAGAGAGAGAAGAGCGACGCAAGCAATACTCCTATATCAACACACAAAGAAGGCAAGAACTGTACTACGTACGTACGTAAGTGTAGCTACCCTCCTCCTGTACTGCACACCATGGCGATAATGAAGAAGAAAACGAGCTCCCTGAGCTTCGTCGTGGCCGCCCTCATCGTGGTCATGGCTGCCACCCTTCTCCTCTCCTCGTGCAACGCCCGCAAAGAGGTCAGCTGATTAACTTTGCCATTTATTCATGACGTACATCGTCGAGATCGGACAGATGATTTGAAACTCATAATATTTTTTATCGTTTCTGTGTGCACGCATGCAGAAGGATAAGCCCGCCGCTTCCCCCGTGTCGGGGAAGTGCTTCTCGAGGTTTTTCCCGAACTGCACCGAGCAACGATGCAAGAAGTTCTGCATCCAGCCACTCCCCGGAGCCGTCTGCATCGACAAAACCCACTGTTGCTGCCCTATTGCTTAATTATAAGCGTCGTTGAAGCGATCAGGCTAAGAGATAGTACTAGTTAAAGATGGCAACAAGCAATATTCGTACATTTCCAACTATATACTACCTCTGCCTCTAAATATATGGCATTTTTTGCAGTTCAATTCAGTTGAACTGCAAAAAACGTCTTATATTTAAGAGCAAGGTAGTATATGTTAATGTTGTTTCTAGTTATGAACTGTTGACCCAAAGATTTATGTATTGAATTAATTGTATAATTATATCACCACAACAATGTGCTCGTGATCAACATTAATTACTTCCATTTGGTTTGAGATAGAGTGATCATCGCATCGGTCGTACGGCGGAATTAGAAAAGATAGAATGAAGAAACACACTTAGGATGTCGCAAGGTGCCACCCAGGGGGTGTTCGATGTGTTTATTTCTGGAGGACGAGTTGACAAGTAGGCATTGATGTTGGCACAACATCGTAAGGGATATCAAATACAAAGGATAGCGGAGAGATCAAGTCGATCCCAGAGAGAGAGGGGCTTTTCAGTATGGTTAACCTCTATTTAACGGCTGCTAACATTTTGGTCCCACGTTCTACATAAACTGTTAACCATTAATTTAGTTCCTGCAAGCAAAATATAGCAGTCAACTCTTAGACAAGGATATATGTTTTGTATTAATTCTATTATATCATCACAACAATGTGCTCGCTAGCATATGACATATCAACATTAATTAGCCCCATATATGCAGAGATATATATGCATTGGTCAATATATATGTAAGTAACTTGTGACTAGAGTGATCAGTGCGTTGATTATACAACAAAATGAGGAAATGTAGCATAACCAAACACATTTACACTACTAAAAACCATTATTTTATCTAGGGCCAAGGTCTTTACCTAGAGCTCATTGGCCTCCTCAAGGGAAAGAAAAGGCATGAATAGGATACCCTAGAGATTAGGGAAATATAATTTTCTGGCAAAAAAAGAATTTGGAACAAATTCAACTAAGGTTGGTAGCCAGTGCGGGATATGTTTGGCTTCCCCGCGCCATTTATTTAGTTCTGCACACATTGGGTCCACTAATCAGCAAAAGTGAGACATGACATGTAGCGAGAAAAGTGCGTGAAATTTCAGGCATCTTTTCCCTGGCCAAGTCCAAATTCCCCTCTCCCGGAAAAAAATTATATGAGACCAGGTCTCACGGTTAGCAAGTGAGACCCGTCCTGATGGATGACACGTGACATTCACAAATCACAAAGCATCTAATCTCCCCCCTGATTTTAAGTGGGGCGGAGGGGATGCTTTGTGATTTGTGAATGACAAGTGTCATCCATCAGGGTGGGTCTCGCGTGAGACCTGGTCTCATAAAATTCTTTTCCCCCTCTCCCAAAGGGGAGAGCTTCCCAGGGGCACGCCCAACCCCTGCCAACCAAGCTTCCCTCCACCTAGGTCATCCCTTCTCTTCCCCTCCCTTTGACCCCGGTACCTCCGTCTGCTAGTGTTTCTCCTTAAATGTCGCCACCGCTATATATAGAGAGAATATTTTTGAATATAAACAAAGTGAAAAATAAAGCAAAAGGAGAAAAAATGAATAAAAAATGGAATAAAAAACAAAACAGAAAAAGTAACATGATGTTAGCAGGCGAGCGGCGGCTACTAGGCCGGCGCAATACGCGCTGCCCTTGCTGGCTACCCGTGGTAGGGCTCACTGCGGGCCGCACATTGTCGTGTTTGCGGTCGGGTTTTTAGTGCTTTTCATTCGGTTTTTCTAAAAAATATGGGAAAATTAATGTTGGCAAGTATGACTTTTTTGAAATTTTGTGCATAGTTTTTGAAAATATGTTTTTTTAAATAGCAAATTTTTTAAAAATTAAAATTTTCTAATATTTTTGAAAAATGCGAACGTTTTTGGAAAAAGCGAAAAAAAACTTTTAACATTTTTTGTGAAAATGTGAACATTTTTGTAAAACGTCAAGAATTTTATAAAATGTCAACACTTTTTTTATAAAATTGCAAACATCCTTCTGTACAAGAAGAACATTTTTTGAAATACGGAAGATTTTTCCTTTTTTTAATCAAATTTGTGATTTCTTGGGAAAACACAAACAATTTTTCAAAACTGAGATCTTTCTTTGAATTTGTTAAATTTTTAAAAAGTGAAGAAATCAATAAAAGAAAATAAAAACCAAAAATAAAAATAGGAGAAACAATGAAAAAACTGACAGAAAAAACTGATTCAACGAACCTTCTAGAAGGTTTACAAACCTAGTTGGCTCACACAGTGTATTATGCTCAGTATGGGCCGTCCCACCTCTTGTCTCTAGGGTCGTTTCCCTGTGCGATTCAACGACTGTGCTGCACTAAGTGACACGTAGGGCTTCTCTTGCTCAAATCCTACGTGTCAGGACATTTGAGCAACTGGTGTGTACTGATCGGGCCCGTTAGAGCGAGCCGAATGCCAGGTTAGCTTGAACGTCGGAATTGGGCTAGATAGGCATCGGTTATAGGGCTTTCACCCCACTTAGGTACTACACTTCATTCATCGCGGAAGGTTTGGAAAGCTTCTTAGGCAAGCTTGCGATCTTTCTCAAAAAAAAAAGGCAAGCTTGCAATTATTTATTTTTCTTTTTTTCCATTTTCTTCTAGTTTTCCATTGTTTTTTCGTTCTTTTTTCCTTTTCTTTATTTTCTCTTTTGTTTGATGAACTTTTATTCAAACTCGCGAACTTTTATAAAAATTGCAAAGGCCCATTTCAAATTTTGTGAACATTTATTTAATTCATGAATTTTTTTGACTTCGCAGAATTTTTCAAATTCGTGAACTATTTTTGAATTTGCAAATTTTTCTGAATTTGTGAACTCCTTTCAAATTTGTGAAATTTTTCTGACTTCATAGGATTTTCCGATTCACAGTTATTTTTTGAATTCATGCATTTTTTAGCTTTCGTAGACATTTGTGAATTCAGGAACTTCTTTCAAATTCACAAATCTTTTTTGGCATCACGAAGTTTTTTCAAATGTATGTACTTTTTAAAACTCGCTAAAATTTTGAGAATCAACGTTTTCTTGTATTTGTTCAACTATTTGAAAACAAAGAAGACGAGAGTCGGTTTTCTCCTTTGTCGAGCAGATAGGAAGAGCCGAACTGAAGTGTACGAGCCGATGAAAAAATAACAAAATTGACTAGCGACCGAGAGCTGCATGGGTCGGCCTGCCTTTCAGGCGCTATAAGCGCCGGTTAGGAGCTCTCCGGATTGGATCACTGTCCTAAGAAAAACTGATTTGGATCATGCATTTGATGTGAGGTGATGGTGATTGAAACTTGGAAGGAACGGCTGGGCAACATGCTATGCTCATGATACAAATAGAGTAGAACTCTTAGCCTAATATATATATAGAGAGAAGAGCGACGCGAACAATACTCCTATATCAACACACAACGAAGGCAAGAACTGTAGTACGTACGTAAGTGTAGGTAGCATCCTCCTGTACTGCACACCATGGTGATACTGAGGAAGAACAGGAGCTCCCTGAGCTTCATCGTGGCCGCCCTCATGGTGGTCATGGCTGCCACCCTTCTCCTCTCCACATGCGACGCCCGCAAAGTGGTCAGTTGATTAATTTTGCCATTTATTCACGGCGGCGTTGAGATCGGGCAGATGATCTGAAACTCGTAATATTTTATCCTTTCTGTTTGTGCGCATGCAGAAGGATAAGCCCACCGCTTTCCCGGTGCCAGGGAAGTGCTACGCGAGGTTTTTCCCGAACTGCACCGAGCAGCGGTGCAAGATGTTCTGCGTCCAGCCACTCCCCGGAGCCGTCTGCCTCGACAAAAAGACCTGTTGCTGCCCTGTTGCTTAATTATAAGTGCCGCTGAAGTGATCGGGCTAAGAAACAGTGAAAGATGACAACAAGCAATCTTGGTAAACCTCCAATGTAGTCCTTGTTTGTTAACGTTGTCCCTATTTATGACCTGTCAACCAAAGATTTGTGTATTGTATTAATGTGTGTATTATATCACCACAACAATGTGCTCGCTATTAGCATTAATGAGTTCCGTATATATTGAGACACAATGATCATTGCATCAGTTGTACACCAAAATTAGAAAAGATAGAATAAAGAAACACACTTAGGATGGCGCAAGGTGCCACCCCAGGGGTTCAATGGTTTTTTCGAGGGCAGGTTGACAAGTAGGCAATGACGTTAATTAGCACAATATCGTAAGGGCAGTCAAACACTACATTTGTACCTTAATATAGTACATTTTATAGTTTGAATTAAACTGTAAAAACATCTTATATTAAGATATAGAGGGAGTACAAAGGACGGGGGACAGATCAAGTCAATCGGAGAGAGGGAGAGAGAGAGAGAGAGCATGTAAAAGTTGTCGTTTTTCAGTTCGATGGTTTCATTTTTATTTAGTGGTTGCTAACGTTCTGGTCCCAACTGCACTAGAACTATTATTCTCAATATAAAATTGTATAACCTTTATCCTCAAGGTTTGACATGTGCTTGAATGGTTACGAGGGTGGTCGTAACCCTGTCCACCCGGGATCAAACTCAATGTTGACACCATGTGTGTGCTAAGGCGGAATGTTCTTCTGATGAGAGAGGACATTCCCCTTGATAGCGAGGTGCATGTGACAAATTCATCAATCTTGAACTTCCGTGACTCTGATTTCCAGTAAACGGTGTGTGTGTGCGCGCGCGCGTGTGTGTGTGGTGGCAATGTACACGCATGTGCACATTTTACACTATACTCGGTGTTTCTATAATAAGGTTCCAGTTAAGATTTGAATACAAACATATAAGCGAGTAATAGTTGCTTCACTGGTTTCAAAATCTGTCATCTTAGAATCGATGCGTTTATGTTTGTGTATCAGTTGAGAAAGAATTATCAACGTCGATGTCATCAATTGATACTACTGCGTAGCACGAAAAATATTTTCATAATATTTAATCATTATTATTTATAAAACAAGATACTCTGGAAAATAAAATGATGGCCATATCGTATTAAAGACTACGCCAAAATAAAACATACTACTATCAGTTTGCCGTAATAAATCAAAGTATCTCGTTTCCTGTATGGCATCTCAATAATGATTGATTTGGTTGGCCTCCAACATCTGAATAAAATCTGCATATAAAGTCTCATTAATTTTATTTATACGCACTATATCAATTAGCCGCAGTGATATAGCCTGCTCATCCATGGAATATATCTCGGCATAATTATTTTTCCATATATTTCCACAAGGCGTATTAATCGACCGCTCTATAAATAGCCCGACGCCATGGCACACACCGCATCAATCAATCATCAATTCAGAAGAAAAACAGAAGAGAAGAAAAGAGAATTAGGGCTAGCCATCACTCATACTCATGGCGATCTTCAAGAGGAACACCACCGCGATGATCTTGGCCGCCCTTGCCGTCATGGCCACCGTCCTCTCCTCATGTTGCAACGCAGACAATTCCGGTACGCCTACCACCCATCTCCTCTTCTAATCACTTGATAATTTCACATGCATTTTGTATCTGAAGTTCTGAACTCTGAAGGAGGATGCATGTAGTTACCCCGTGGTATCTTTTTGGCATGCAGAGGGAGAGAGATGCTTCCCGCCTATCTCGGGGCCGGACTGCAACCTGAGGCAGTGCCGGAAGCTGTGCGGGGAGAAGTCGAAAGCACACTGCTACATGGCGTTGGCCGACGTGCAGCCCATGGGGGTAACCGCCTGCTGCTGCTCGCCGCTCAAGCGCGCCAAGGCCGCTCCTGCTGTCTTGTAAACTTCGTCGGAAGTCGGAACGATGAGGAAGTCAATAATCTAGTTTTTTTACGGCATGCATGTGTGATGTGTGTCTTTAAGACTGCTCACAGTGGAGAGTAACATAGAGTAGTAACTTGCCAATGTTACTAGTCTATGTTACTACCTTCATAGTGGGTAGTAACATATGAATGTATCATGAAACAGTTTATTTATTAGGCTATAGACTCATTATGCCTTAAAATATGTGATGTTACAGTAACTATCTAAGTTACCACAAACCCCTCTCTCCTCATTAATTAGCTGCCACATAAGTAATCTTGTATTGAAATGTGTGATGTTACTACTTAAGTTACTTCCATTGTGACTAGTCTAATTTAGCACGGGACGTGAGCTTATTCCTTTTTGGCTAATTGTATCCTCTCTGTCATTTTCGCTCAACCACAATCAATTTTTGCCGGTCCTTTTGACGCGTGCATTAATTCAATTAAATCGGTATCCTATATACTTAAGAAGTTCACTCCCACTACTTGATTTATCTCAACATGCAGCATAGACACATCAACATCCAATCACACAAAGCCACGTCACACCTCATGCAGTCATTTTCTGTGAAAGAAAAAGCAAAATCTGTCTCGACACAGAAGACCAGAGAACGACCGTCTCTCTCCCCGCAGTTCAGGCTCTTGCAAATCGCAACCCATCAGGCCCTCCTTCAGTTTCCCCCTGTCTATGTTAGCTCGTGGCGGCTGCGATCAATCTCTGCTTCAGGGAGCTCATCCGGCGTCACCGCGGATTCGCCTCGTCTCTGCGCCTCATCAGGATTCCCCACTGCTGCCTGCGCGTCCTCCGGCATGACAGCCGACCCGCCTCGTCTCCGCCCCTCATCGGGATTTCCATATGGTGCATGCGCCGTCGACACCTGGTCCTCCTCTCCCTTCCATGTCTCTGTTTCGCCCAAGGAAAACTTGCTGGAGGTCCGTACCTGGCTGTATTTCTGGCATGGACCGACGCTCTGGTGGCGATGTTGGGCTCGGCCATGGAGTCGACGCCGCGTTTGGTAGGTTCCCATCCATATGACCAGGCTGGTAGTGACGCCAGGCAGAACCTCGGTTCACATGCACAACTTCGAGCAGCGTTGGATCCACCTCCTCCCATTGGTGCCGCCCCGGCTGATCCGTAGACGAGATAGTTTTGGTGGCGTCCTTTTGCAAGCCGACCTTTTGCATCTGGGAAGGAAGTCATGCACCTTTGTTTTGGTGATGGATTTGCGGCTAACTTCTGAATATAGCGAGCGACATCAGTGGAGTTCAAGGTTACGTACTCTGTTTTTCAGTATTTGGTGTTCTATCTTCAGTATTTCTTTCTCATAAAAAAGGTCACACAAAACGTACACAGACTACTACTTCTGCAGATTTCTATGGAGGTTTCAGGGATTGTGCAGTGATGCCATGCCAGTGAGTCTCTCTATCGACTGCTATGAATCTATGATGACCCATAACTACTCATCTAGAGAGAGAGAGAGAGAGAGAGAGAGTTAACTAAAGGTATTCAAGTGTCACCAGTTGTGCCCTGATTTCCCCTCAATATTTATACATAATGTGATTTTCTTGCAGATTTGGTACTCTGTGCATTATAGCTAATGATGTAGGACTCCCAAGTCCTTTAGTTATATACTACTCTATTTCTCATCTTGCTCATGGATAATCTTGAATTGTTTCCCAAGTTATTTACAACTTACGGAGTGCGAATGTGTGTTGTGAATTCGAAACAGTACCAACCTAAAAACCATAAATCCTGCAAGAACATCTACAGTCACCTATTGCTTGATACCGTTGACAAACTAGCATCTACTTAGATCAACCTCTTCCTATTCTAAGTTCTAACTATCAAGTTCCATGTATATACTGTAGGTGAGATTTAGCATTGATGCTATTGGCGATAGGGACATATGACATCTTAAGATCTTAGACCCAGGCAGGCTATACAGGTTCAAAATTTACCATTAGTCTACATTGCAAAGAACACATCTAATTCAGTGAATATAAGTAATATTCGTCATGGTTTCACTTTCACCCAACACCATGCAGGTGAAACACAAATGCTCTGTTCAATTTATTTTCTTTATCTATCATTTCTATATGCAAAAGGAGTATTATTTATGGTTATATTTTTCTACCGATGCTTTATGGTCAAAGTTCTTGCTGATACATTATCCATTCGCGCCTTGGGCATTAATTGTTGCAACAGGATGAAGTCATGTTGATTTAGAATAAACTTCAACATATGCTCGAGTTCACAATCTGGAATCATTAGCTAAGTGCAACTACGATTCTCTGAAGAATTGTTTAGGGTTGAATTGGATTTTTTTATCAATTTTTATATTAATACTATTGGGAGCAAACTTCCAGTTACAAATTTCTGCAACATGTTATCTTTATTAGTAGGCGAAGGTGTCTCTTGACTCTCTTGAGGTGGAGTATCTGGGATTATTTTGTCCGAACTATTAACTGCTTGGAAGGAAAAGCCTCCCGTGTTGTGCTACCAAAATCTTGGTATGTGCTTGCTCGCTTCTTCTGTAAGATTTCTTTAGATGAACTGTGACATCAATGTATTATGAAAAAACTTTTGTTATCAATTATATCACTTTGTTTCTTGGACTAACTAATAAACTAATAGTTTTCTTACTTGCCAGCATATCCTCCTCATATATAGCGCTACAAAATCCCGCAGCAACGCGCGGGGCATCATCTAGTTTTCCAAAACAACGTCGTCCATTAACTTATTTACATCAAATCACTCCACGGATTTTTTTTCTAGCTACTGTCATCCGTCCGGAATTTTTTTACCTCGCACGCTCGAGTATCCATGTCACGCATCGATTGGCAGGCGATTTCTTTCCTTCTTCCTTCTTGTATGCAATGCACAACCCTGTGATCTCCTTGATTAGGTGCCGTGCATGCACCTGATTGTTTTCCATCTGAAACTCCCTAATGTTTGTGTGTCAAATTGAAATTTAATAGAAATAATCCATGTTCTGTGCCTCGATGGAAACAGGCTGGGTGGGACAGGACTCAGGAGAAGGACACGACCTTGCGATCTCAATCGAGGGCGGAAGACGCCGTCCAGCGGGCTGGCGGCCACCCTCTTGAAGAACACCCTCACGCACCGCGCCGCTCTAGACCTGCCTCTTTTGTGCCACTCTGCCTCTTTTGTGCCACTCTGCCTCTTTCGTCAGACATGACGCGCCGAGCAGCTGCAGGTCAAGGGTGTTGATCCATCGGCCATCGGGATGCGGATGGTGGGGCTCCAGGGCCGCATCGTGAATTTGACGTCGTGCATCTTCGTAAACTCGCGGGCGGCGTCTGTTGACGATGACCGGGCCGGTCCTTGCCAAGCCCGAGGTGCATAAGGGGCGCGTCCAGCCGACGCGCAATGTCCACCATGGCCTGGTACGTACGACAACGGGTTGCACATCAGGTGGTGGAGGATCTTCGGGAGCATCACGTTCTGTTGCTCCGTTGGTGCATCCACGTCTTGAGGATCAAGGGGAGATCAAGAGCTAGGAGGATGTGCATGTAGTGAGTTGCTTCATGAACCTGGCTATCAGGAAGCGCATGTCTGACGAATTTTGTTTCATTGATGTCATGTATAAGTGTAACTGTGTATACATTATTATTTTTTTGTATATTTTAGCTAGAACACCTGTTCGACGACATGGGCATCGACTGCTCCGCGTACAACGCCCGCGTAGGTCACCCCAGCACCCTCTACGGCTATATCAACCACTACCTAGCCAACATCCGCCTCCTCAAGGTCATCGTCATCAAAGCAGGTCCGCTTCTCTTCCGCCTCGATCGATGCTCACAAGTTGTGGCGTGAATGTGCGCGTGCATTGCAAATTCGTGACCGTCTCTACGAATTTGATTAGACAAGGCCCTATGAGGTTACCACTTTACCATGACGTGGACCATGGTCATGAAGTTCTCTCTCTTGTCGTGGAAGCCGAAGCTGGTCTTCACTGGGTTGTCGATCATGGGCGTCAACCCATGAAATATCAAGTTCTGCAGCCATGTGGTTAACACTCATTCTTGCTTTCACCATACCATGGAACGTATGTTTTTCATTCGAATGGGCAGTGGATTGGCACGCGGGGGAATATATCAGTATTGTGTCTATCTTGTGTAGTTTGTTTCAGAGAACTGAAACTGACTTTTCAGTTCTTGTGTATTTATAGATGAATTAGTCAAATACTGATATTCAAAACACTCATCTTCATCATGTTGCAGCGATAACAACAGTGGGAAAACGCGAGACACTGGTGCGCTGATATGGTTCTGGCTCTCATAATGAATGGCAATGTTAAAACAAGGGTGTGCTGATCTGTTTCTGATTCAACTATCATGATATGACATTTAGACTAAAGAAAGTTGTATTGTCTGCTCTGAGAAGAACAAGACCAAGGCTATGCAAGTAACATCACATCATTCAGGCAAGTGAAAAACACTTGTTAAATTCTTCGATGTCGTATTGCACGCCCATTGCATACAATACTTCGCCAAAACTATAATGATCTGCAGGATGAATTATTCTTATGGTGGCTATTTCAATGCTCCTGGAGAAGACCCTTGTGTTCTTTTGCGCGTTAAAGAAGATTATGATGGTTGTAGAGTTCTCTAAAAACTCAATAGCATGCAGCCATCAACATGATCAGATTGTCCAGTATATATGATGCTGCAAAATTTGACAGCTACAAATGTAATGCTGGACATTTCTTGGTCAGTAGTAGCTTGGTTTCATATCATAAGGTTGCAGGCATGATGAAGAAACTTCGAGGTTGCAAGATAGTGAAGGCCTAATTATATTTTCTTCAGTCGCGGGGTGAAATTTTCCATTTCCTTCGATGTGTATTTTGGTATTTTTTTCTCTTCTCTTTCATCTTCCATTAAGTCAAATATGTTTTATTCTCTGGGTCAATATTAATTCTGTTTTGGTGCCAACTTATTGGTCCTTTGATTGGTATAGTTCCCCTTTGAATGGTATGAAAGATGTAAAGAAGAGTTGCTTCACGTGCTTAATTACGAAACTTTTTTGTTAAAAAATCACACTGGGCACAATTGCACAACCAGTGATGCAACTTTCTCATGAATATTTTTTGTATTTTGCCCCAGTCACAACATCATTGATCCCATGTATTTTTGTATAAATTGATGGCTTTATGTAATTCTAAGAAATCTCCACTGCAAAATATATTAGGTAATCATATTTTCTCTTTTAACTTATTCTATTTATCACCATTTCAGGAATGTCCAATCCAGACACATATTGATCAGTATATTTTTGCAACCATTCGGTTTGTAACCACTCATGAGCAATATACCAATGCTAATATTTTTATAGCATGGCCTTTGATAGTTCATGTGCACATATTTTAGACTATGACCAGGTCTCACATTGGCTTCACAATTAGAGTGAAATGATGTTTAAGTCAAGGTTGTGCCCTATAGAGCTACCTTTCAGCGGACAATATAGATGAAGGTTGTGCTTTTTGATCAAGTTGGAGCTGGTGCACAATTGAGGTGGTGATGATGCCCACAGTGGTACATGTAGCCGAATTAATCGTGAAGCATGACTGGTTGGGAGGGAGAGGGAGAGGGAGTGAGGAGTGGTTTTGTATGGCGGAACAAGAAAAGTGATCTAGCGTAAAAAAGATAATGTGGCTTATATGTTAAACATAATTAGTGTTCACCCGCTAGAATTATTTTGCCCCCATTGCAACATATGACACATTATAATAAAAAAACTAAGAAAACTGTTTTTCCTAAAGAAACACAACAATGCAAAGCACATATGCATCGATATAATCGCCTGCCCTACGTCTCCTCCCAGCTACATATGGTTGAATGAGTTAATGTTTCTCTGCATCTAGGCCTTCAAGCAGTTCGCTACGATGGTGTGCATTCCTTGGCACCAGTAATTGTCCTCGGATGCTTTGGAGGGGAGAGGATGGGGCAAGTGATGTTGTAGAGAGGAGGGGAGACGACGGTGAGAGGAAAGTGCGCGCTGAATGTCGTGTGTCGAGGGGATACAACAGTGAGAAGCCATGGCGGGGAGAGATTGCGGCGGAGACGCCGTAGTGGGGAGAGCAAGCCGGGGGAATGATATTTGAGTGTGAGTGGTGTGTCGTTCGATGTGTGTGTGTGTGTGTGTGTGTGCGCGCCTGCGTGCGTGAGTGAGAGAGAGTGAGAGAGAGAGTTGATGTTTTCTTTAGGAAAAAAATAGTTGTTTTCTATGACAGAAATGTCACACACTTTTTATGTAGTGAAAAAAATCACATACCCTAACAACTTATTTCTATTGAATAATTACCAACAAGTGATTTACCAGTGCAGTTTATTAAAATTAGGATGCAACTCACTCTACTAAAAAGCACGATGCCACACACTCGGAATAAAAACGGACACATGCTTGCATCTAGCAGTTGACCAATGAATATATATTTATATAATCATATTTTTATTTAATATGTGTTTATAAGTTCACTTTTGTAGATCATAAAAACTGATGGCTTCGGATGACGTGTTGAAATTGATTGACAAGTCACTACATAAGTATCATGGTTTGGACTGAAAAACCATCGAGTTTTACACAATCGAAAGAGACACGCAAAATCATCGAATATTATATATGTTTATTTATATATGTTGCACATGATAATACAAAATGTGTATTTTTTTTGTAGAGTATGAGAAAGATGAAGATGGATTATGTTGACGTTAAAAAGTAATCCGCCGTAAAAATAATCCGTCAATAAAGGACCTGAGACGATACTAAAGGGGCCAAAAGTTCACCAGGCTTTATAAAAAATACACACCAAAACCTACCTCTCTCCATTCTTTGGTCTCATCTAAGACCAGGCATACTAGTTCTTGCGCCGTTTTTGTTGTTGCGTTCTGTTGAAGACCCTCACACTCCTTTGCTTCCATAGTGACCATGCAGTACAGATGCCAAAGGAGCCAAAGCCACGTCGAAACCTCCCGGAGAAATTTGTCCTTTGTGTGAGCCACCAGTCCATTAAGGTGTATGAGACAGAGGGGAGCATGCTGTTGATGGCAACAGATCAACGGGGTGGTTTATATTTCATGGGAGGACATACCAAGCGCACGATGCACTTCAGTGCTACATCATCAGATCTAAAAAAAGGCATCCAAATCAAAGTTGAATTCATATGTTGCGATACGTTGAAATGGTCTATGGTAAGTAGGGGGAATAGAAGCCTTCCTTCTAACACTTGTAAAGACATTTGGCATCTGCAAAAGGGTAGTCACACGGCATTTAGATTGTGACATTTCTTGTAGTTCATATGGAAAATGTTTTTTTTTACTTTTTTCAAGAGCACCTTATACATGTCATTTGGTTTTAGTCTTTGAGAAACAGAGTCCTTCATGCACTAGGTTGAATCTTTGATATTTTAGAAGGCCTGCAAACTGTTTCACTCAAACACAAGAATGTCAGCAATGAATATAGGCGTTGAAGCTAGTAGTATAGGGGAAAAAAGATGATTTCTCATCTGGCGTCCATGAGTTCTGTGGTGCCGAGACTCCTGCGTCATTGAAGGCATCCTGTAGTAGACAGATTGACATGATCTAATAGTGAAAACATGGCATGCACATGAAGTGATATGCTTTTGAAAGGTAAGCATCATACACTATTTTTTACCTTTAAGCCATCAATATGATTTCTGTTGGGGGTTTATCCTTATCACCAGAAAAAGCTCCTTCGCGTTCGCTCGTTGGAGTGATCGAATCAAT